CCGTTCACGTGCGCGAGCGCGAGCGGCGGCGGGTTCGCGGAGGGCGACGGGCTCGAGGAGGACACGTCGTTCGACTCGTTCGGGGACTTTGGCGAGTTCCAGAGCGCGAGCGAGGGCGAGGCGGGGGCGGGGAACGTCGCGGACAGCTGGAGCTTCGCGAGCACGTCGAGCACGGGCTCGCTCGACGCGGGGGACGCGGGGAAGGAGCAGCCGTGAGGGGCGAGGCTCGCAAAAAGTGTGTAAGTGTAGTGCAGGGCTGCGCGCGCGGCGGCCAGTAGTGGCGCCATTCCGATAGTGGCGGGGGAAATGTGCGCAGGTCGGTGTGTGTACTGTATTCCATTTTCTTAGCCGTGTGCTTGTATGATGCTTGTGGACTCTTGGGCCGACTAGAATCGCCGCCGAGACGGCGACTGTCATCGTTGGCGCGTGCTGGGGGCTCTTGGCCGGTGGGTGCCATACGACTCGGACCAGGTGTCGTCTTGGCCGATCCGGGGTGGTCGCGGTGGCTGTTACTCGCAGATAGGTATGGAGGCTACGCGCTGGATCGAGTCTACGGGGTTGCGTTTCTAAGGTATATAATATGTTGAGCGCGAGCGCGCCCTCCCCCGTGAACACAATCGAATCGGAGCCAAATATTGGGCAAGCGGGCTCAGCGAGCGCGCTCGGGAGATATACTGCAGAGACAGTGTTCGCCGCTTGCGGCATGATTCAGATTGCGATCGAATGCAGCCACCGCAGTTTACACGCTCGCTCAGATCATTCTCGCGCAGCCGGTAACAAGACCGAGAGAGCGTCAAGTGGATAACTCACCGTGGTCCCCGGCAGACAGCCCCAGGCCACGTCAGACACTGATAGACAGATAGATGGACAGCACAACCATGTGCACGCTCGAGGGGGATATTCAAATATTCGTAAATCGTGACAGTCGTACGGAACACGGCGACATGCATACGTATGGGCAGTGAATCAGCGGTAGCGTATACAGATAGTAACGGTGCGGGCTAGATACGGATACGGTACGTGCTGGTATACGCGGTCTCTGCAGGCCCGCGGCATCTAGAGAGCAGGTGCGGATTAGAATGTCGACTGTGGCGGCGCGTGGGTGCACCGGCCGTGCATTGAGTCCTGTGGGGTAGGGGTGCAAGGCGCAATTCGTGTATGCGTGGCGGCGCGGGCGGCGGTGACGTCGGCGAGGCAGTGCGAGGTATCTGAGGGGATCCTGTCAGGCGAGCCCGCGTCGGAGAGGGGATGAAGGATGCGAGCGATCAAGCAAAGGGTCCCGAGGGAGAAAGGAGCGATAAGGGGAGATTGGCTGTGCTACCGGACGGGTACAGGCATCTGTTGCTTGACCATGTCGGGAGATATGCTGCGCGAAGACCGAGGTGAGCTCTGTTGAGAGACGGTAACGGCAGGCGATGGCTGATGATGGAAAGGAGATGCAGGCAGGTCAGTAACAGACTACGGAAAAGACAGAAGAGACGGACTGGGCTGAGGCCTATGGGAAACTCGTCGGAGAAGGACGAGGCGAAGGAGTCTGAGCGGCGGGGATCGCGGTGGCGGCGGGCCTTTCTGCTCGCGGCAGCAGCGGCGCGGGCACGGCGTTCGCGCTTGCGGCGGCGGTTCATGATGCAGACGTAGAGGACGGTGGAAATGACGCCGAGGATAACAAGGGCTGGAGCAAGGGTGAGGAGGACGCGAGGAGGGGTGAAGAGGAGACTCACCGACTATGACTACAACGGCGATGACCCAGCTAGAGTTCTCGGAGGCAGTGGTAGAATCGGCTTCACTGAAAGAAGAAAGAAACGGCCCGAGATGAGATACGGGCGGTGGAGTAAACGGTGGAAAGACTGACTCTCTGGGAAGGAGAAGGTCGACGAGCGGGGCGGCCGAGACGAGATGGGAGGCGACGAGAACGGCAGCGAGGACGGCGGGGGCGGACATGAGGGCGGGGAGGGGGGCGACGAAGAAAGGCAGAGGGCAGAGGGGAGGTGAGGGGGAGGCTATAAGAAGGGAGGCGGATGCCAAGAGAGGGCAGCGCCTGAGACGCGCTTGGCAGGCCAAGGAGCGAACAGCTGGAGGCCGCCGCCTTTGACTGCGACCACTGACGGCGAGCTGCCCGCCAGGCCGCCGTCCGTCCCTTCCACTTCCGGCCTAGCGCACCTTGGCCGCCGGTCCGCTCTGCTTCCTCGGCCCTCCCCCCGCCCAATCGGGCCATCCGCGGCCCTCCCCGGCGTCGGCATCGGCATTGGCGTCGGCGTCGACCTCCCCTTGCGATCATGGCTGTCGGACACGGCAACAGCAGCGGCGGCGGCGGCGACGGCGGCGACGGCGATGGCAGCAACGAATATTTGTTGTCTGCGATCCGCTCCCCCGGCGACTTGGCACTGGTGGCCCTCCCACACTGCGCACGATGCCCTCCGCACCGTATCACCATCGTTCCGAATCTTCAGGCGTGACGGGCAGCGTCCACGCCGAGGGGGATCAACATGAAATTCACTGCGCGGAATTTGTCCGCCACCGGAACCCACGCCCAGTCTCGCGGACTCATCTCCGCCGGCCATCGCCGTGCCCCTCCCTCAGCACGTTTGACTCACCCAAGCCTCTTGGGCGGCGGTCCGCTCCCCGCCCTTGTCCTCCTCCTCCCTCCCAAGCCTCTCCGTCCCCCCACATGTTCGCTCTAGCCTCGCGTTCTCTTCTCCCGCCAAGCAGGCTCGTCGCTCGCTCTTTCAGCCACGCCCCCGTGCCCAGAATGGCTGCGGAACACTTTGTCCTCCGTGGCAAAAAGGTTCGAATCTCCCTTCCCGCCCGCTTTCCCCCCACTCACCGCACCAGATAGTCGCCATCGGCCGCAACTACGCTGAGCACATCAAGGAACTTAGCAACGATGCCCCCAAGGAGCCCATGTTCTTCCTCAAGCCCACCACCAGCTATCTTCCCTCGGGTGGCAACGTCCAGATCCCCCGCGGCGTTACAGCGCACTACGAAGGTCCGTCTGCCCTCTCACTCGTATCACCTTCCAAACCGACCTGCCTTGCAGTTGAACTCGGCCTTGTCATCGGCAAGACCAGTCGCGACGTCTCTCAGGCCGCCGCCGACGCCCACATTGCTGGCTATGGTGCGTCCGGCTTCCCGTAACAGACGAGCATCGGTGCTAACGCGGCGTGGGATGTGTGTTCTAAGCCTTGGCTGTTGACATGACAGCGAGGAATATGCAGGACGAGGTCAAAAAGCGCCGCCACCCTTGGACCGCCGTAAAGGGCTTTGACACATTCACGCCCATCAGGTACGCTCCCCACAGATTCCGCCCGAATCGCACTAAAATTCCATCCCGACGCAGTTCGTACATCCCCAAATCAGCCGTAGCGGACCCGGACAACCTCACCCTCACCCTCAAGGTCCGCGCGCGCCACCTTTTCGCTCCCCGTTGCTGACCACGCGCAGGTGAACGGTGTCACTAAGCAGGACGGCAACACCAACCAGATGATATTCAAGATTCCCCGCCTCATCGAGCACGTCTCCTCCATCATGACCCTCGAGGTGCGTCCCCCCCTCCCTTGGGTGTCTGCACCGCGCGATGCTCACTGCTGGTGCAGGAAGGGGACCTTGTACTCACGGGTACGCCCTCAGGCGTCGGCGCGATCGTCCCCGGTGACCGCGTCGAATGCACACTGACTGACGCGAGCGGCAAGCAGCTGGCGTCCGTGGGCTTCACCGCCGTGCAGCGCGAGGGCGGGTACCATTTTGTTCCAGAGCAATGACCACGCTCGCTGAGCATGGCTAGACCGACGTGCAGTATGTACAACTGCTTGTAATGCAACGCATAGGTCTAACCACTCTGTGTGGTGTGATGGACAAGCCTGGCTAGCGTGATGTCAACTCATCAGCACGCGCAGGTCCGACAGGGCCTATTTGCCCCACATCCAAGCCGGAGCCTGCGACATCAGGTGTTACCTCTGCCCTTACTTGAGCTCCTCCGGTTGACTGTCACCGCCAAGTTCCAATTGCTAACGCAAGCTAGCACAGTGGACGTAAAATGCACGGGTGGCACCGGTGCGAACGTGGACAGCGTTCTCTTCTTCGGTACGCACGCTGTGATTCCGATTGGCGACGACGCTATTTCACGCGTGGGTGAGTACACACGCTGGCAGGTCGCCATAGGTAAATCTCTGCGGGCTGCTCACTGTGTTCTACACACTCGACGATACTCGTAGAGTGAAACCGCCTTCAACGGCCTAGTGCATATTACCAGCCCATGAACGCTGTTTCACGCGTGATGCATGAGAGACAATGGGCGAAAAATGGAAATGTAGGACCTGCCCCATAAGGCAACTGGAGTGGCGAATGAGTCAGCTGACCCAGCGAATGACTCGAGGGCCCCCAGGATATACATCCCCCGCGCTAGCTTTCTAGTTTTCATCTCGTCCTCCTCGTCCTCCTCGCCCCGCGCTCGCTGCAGCCGCCCTCCCCGCAGCCATGGCCCTCGCTCCGTCCAGAATGCGCGTGCAGTCCGCACCCAGAAATGCCAGCGCCATCACTTCCCTCACCCGCTCCCGCTCGACCGCCGCCAGCACGAGTGCGAGCTCGTCCATGCTTGAGGCCCGCTCGAGAGTGCGCGAGCATGCGCGCAACATCAGCCGATCTACCGTCCGCGAGGCGACCGCCACCGGCATTGTGTGAGTGTCTTTTCCCTCCACTGAGCTCATCGGGCCCATCGCCTGCATGTCTTGTCCTGGACTCTGGAGTGCAGAGATCGTCTTGTGCGAATGCATTCCTAGCCGTCCAAAGACGGCGCCAGCGCTGCACAGAGCTTATTCCGGATGCTGAACAACCTACTGACGCATTCTGCACAGACGGCCGCCTCCAGCCCCTGGCTTCTCGCAATTGCCGACGAAGCTCCCACCGCCTATGCTCGGCGCGCACCCCGAGGGCCCGCTCGACAGTTCGTTTGTAGGGATGTCCGGCGGGCAGATCTTCCACGAGATGATGGTCCGGCACGGCGTGAAGCACATCTTCGGCTACCCAGGCGGCGCCATCCTGCCCGTCTTCGACGCGATCTACAACTCGCCCCAGTTCGACTTTGTCCTCCCCCGCCATGAGCAGGGCGCGGGCCACATGGCCGAGGGATACGCCCGCGTCACAGGCAAGCCCGGCGTCGTCCTCGTCACCTCCGGCCCCGGCGCGACGAACGTCGTCACGCCCATGCAGGACGCCCTCAGCGACGGTATTCCCCTCGTTGTCTTTAGCGGCCAGGTCGCGACATCCGCCATCGGCTCGGACGCATTCCAGGAGGCGGACATGGTCGGAATCTCGCGCGCGTGCACAAAATGGAACGTCATGGTCAAGGACGTCGCAGAGCTCCCCCGCAGAATCAACGAGGCGTTCAAGATTGCCACCTCCGGCCGACCGGGGCCCGTGCTTGTTGACTTGCCAAAAGACATTACCGCGGGCGTCCTCCGCACCCCGCTCCCGTACAAGGCGACGACGCCCGGGCGCCCCCTGGGCCTCCCCTCGAACCCGCTACAGTCATCCGATCAGCCAAGCGACATGCTCCTCATTCAGCAAGCGGCGAACCTGATCAACAATGCGAAGCGGCCCGTCATCTACGCCGGCGCGGGTGTCCTCTCGTCGTCGCTCGGCCCGACGCTGCTCAAGCAGCTCGCGCAGCAGGGCAACATCCCCGTAACGACAACTCTCCAGGGCCTTGGCGCGTTTGACGAGCTCGACGAGAAGAGCCTGCACATGCTGGGCATGCACGGCTCGGCGTACGCGAACGTCGCGATGCAGCAGGCCGACGTCATCGTCGCGCTCGGTGCGCGGTTCGACGACCGCGTGACGGGCACGATCAGCCAGTTCGCGCCTGCTGCCAAGGCTGCCGCAGCAGAGGGCCGTGGCGGGATCATCCACTTTGAGATCCAGCCGAAGAACATTAACAAGGTCGTCGACGCGTCCATCCCCATCCTCGGCGACGTCGTCACCAACCTCGCGTCGCTGGTGCCCCTCGTCCGTTCCGCGCCGCGGACGCAGTGGTTCAGTGACATCAAGGAGTGGAAGGCGAAGTATCCGTTCACGTACGAGAAGAGTGACGTGAGCGCGGGCGCGCTGATGAAGCCGCAGGAGGTCATTGAGGAGCTGGACAGGCAGACGGCGCACCGGAAGGAGGATGTGATCGTGACGACGGGCGTGGGCCAGCACCAGATGTGGGCGGCGCAGTACTATCGATGGCGCTACCCGCGCAGCTTGGTCACTTCTGGAGGCCTTGGGGTACGGTTTCCTCCTTTGCTTTGCTAGCTTAGCTGCTTACCTGCATTTCCAATCCAGACGATGGGTTTTGGTCTTCCCTCGGCCATCGGTGCGAAAGTCGGAGCGCCGCACAAAACAGTTGTGGACATTGATGGGGACGCTTCGTTCAGCATGACAGCGATGGAGCTGCAAACGGCATCGCAGTTCAACATCGGTGTGAAAGTGCTCGTCCTCAACAACGAGTTCCAGGGCATGGTGCTCCAGTGGCAGGGTACGCACGCACGTCCTTATATGCTACCCGTCTCCCTATCGCCGCTGCTGACTGATCCGACTCGCCACAGATTTGTTCTATGATGCTCGATACGCCCACACGCGCATGACCAACCCGGACTTTGTCGCCCTCGCGAAGGCGATGGGCGTGCATGCCATCCGCTGCGAGAGCGCGGCCGACCTCCCCGCGAAAATGAAGGAGTTCCTGGAGTACAACGAAGCGCGGCCCGTGCTCCTGGAGTGCAGGGTCGAGAAGAACGAGCACGTGTTCCCGATGGTATGTCCATAGCGCCGCTTCTATCAGCCCGCAGTGCAGCGAGTCGCTCACACACCCCGCAGGTCCCCGCGGGCAAGGCCCTACACGAGCAGATTCTCCACCGCACCCTGCGCGACGCGTATGAAGCCTCCGGGGTTGCGAAAAAGGCATGATTTGCCCCCTCACATTGCCTCCGTCTATCGTGGCACATCACCCGTTGCATACATACATCCTATCATCTACTTCCTTCTCACCCTCTTTGCATGCATGACATCGTTGCATTTCTCTTCGCTCACGCACGATACCGACGATTAATGAAGAAGCAAAAGTCCCGCTGCGGACAACATCTGTATCTAGTATAGTCCGGGAGGTACCGTTAAAACACGCTGGTAGTTTTAGTTTTCTTACTGTGTCATATCATTCGATATCCTTCGGCCGCTCAATGCCAGTGTCTCTTCGCGCCGACATCTGCGCTTGCCCCGGTGCTCCGCGGCAGCAACCCGCGTGCACGGACGGTGTGAGTAAGAACTAGGACGTGTATTGTGTACGGCTATGGGTCTATGGTACATTCATCTAACTGCAAAGCTATCGACGACTAGATCATACACTGTGGAGCACGCGCTACATATAATAATATACGACCTCAAGAGAGAACAGCCTTCGACAAGGGAGATAGATATGTACAGTACTGGCATTCAGCACGGGGTCTTGGCCTGCTCAGGGCGACGAGCACACAGAGGGGCGTTTTGGGGGCGGGGGTGGCCGGGTCGACGCTACGGATCTGCGAGATGCGCGCCGTCGGTCTGCGAGCTGTCCAGGATCGCCTGCATCATCGCGCTGCCGAGCTTCGTCGCGTCCTCGAAGCGGCTCTCGAAGAACGCGGACGTGTCCGTGAAGCGCCGCTGGTACAGCTCGAAGCTGCCGAACGAGATGCACTGGCTCCACCCGCGCGCGGCGACGACGAACTCGAGGTCGTTCGCGCGGTACGTCGTGTCGTATAGCGCGGCGTTGACCGCGCTCTCGAGGCGCTCCGGCGAGCGGAAGAGGTACTCGGACACGCCGAGCAGCATCCGGAAGATCGGCGTCGCGGCGAGGTCGAGGTGCACGAACGGCTGGATGCCCAGCTGCGCCCAGCAGTCGACCATCCCGAGCAGCGAGAGGTGCGAGTTGGCGCGCGACGTGCGCGGCGAGCCGGGGGAGCCGGGCGTGGTGCTCCCGTTCCCGTTGGGGACGCCGTTTCCGTTGTAGATGCCGTTCGCCTTCGCGGACGCGGAAGACGGTCGGCGTCCGAGGCTAAATCGGTCGAGGATGTCTTCGGAGAGGAGGATCGGTGCACGACCGTCACTCATTCCGCTGCCAAACACGCGGTCGCGTGCGTTGTAGATACGCCGGCGTAGACCGGCGTCGTCTCCAGCGACCATGAGCTTATAGATCTCGGTCACGCTGCGCGCGTACTGATCGATCTGCACGCGAGCAGAGGGGTTGAGGATCGCGAGTCCGGCGTACACGTGCCACTTGTTTGAATATATGCGCAGCATGATGTTGACCTTGACCGTTTCGATCCCACCGACGTAGTTTCCCGTTTCCCATGGGTACTCGAGCTCGTCCTTCCAGGCCGTGCCCATGCTGATACCATACGTCAGCAAGTAACGCGGGTAATTGTAAATTATTTCACCTCAGGAACGCGGCGTGTGTCACCGCTTGTGTGTTTGCCGTAACTGTGTCATGCTCTTCGTAGGAGAGGTACACGTAGCGTGACCTGAGCGGTGCTAGGATATTCTCTACGAGAGTCAACGCTTCATCTGGCGCTCGGTGTTTTGTGAGGACCTGGAACTCAAATATCACATATAGCGAAGAAGATGCAAAGGAGAGGACGCTCACCAGAGGTTGACCAAGAGGGGAGACAGTGGGGCCATGTAGTGAATGACATGAAACAATGAACACGTCTTCAGGCAAGTACTGCTCGAACGCAATTTTCTCCGGTGCCTTGACTGACGTCTGACCGGCAACAATTGCGCCTACCTTCGTTGCTGGAGAGAAAGTGAGTAAGGACTCAAGAGAATGATGATCGGAAAGACTTACATGGGCCGTACATCTCCACGACCTTGCAAATGAATTCGGCCTCAACGGCGTACATGATGAAGTCGGATATCCGGGACACAAGGTGTCCGTCGCGCAAAACCGTGACGCACGAGTGGTCTGCAAACGGAAATCAGTCCCGCCTCTGACAGGAAACTGGCCGAGTACGATGCAACTGTACCTTGGTACTTCTCTTTGAGCGCTTCATATTTACTGGGAATATCACAAACATATATCCTAGCCGATAGAACCACAATGAGCGCTTGTTACGGGCTCGGACATGGGGCGTACTCACTTCTTCCATCCACCGGCTTCCAGGTACTTGACGTACATCACACCCATTGAGCCCATACCAATGATACCAATTGCGGGTTGCTCCTCTAGTGGTGAGTCGGGAGTGACATCTGGGCGAATTTTCAAGGCAACCATGGCTCCTGGAGTGGCATGAAAAGTCAGTACGGAGCCCATGCGCATTGAGGATACATACCGGAATGATGGCTGAAGAAAAATTGCAGCGGGGTTCAGAGACGGAGAGGGGGTGAAGGAGAGTCCTCCAGGTGCCGCCAGCTGCGGTATAAGCGGTATATCTAGACGCGCAGACGACAGGTACTGGGAAGGGCGCTGCGAGTACTACGTCAGAGAACAGAGGGAGGGTGAGGTGCGAGGAGTAAAGAGAGAAAGGACAACAGAGAGCCGGCTGAGTGGATTCCGAGGTTGCTCAGATCGAGTCAACTGCTTTATACCATTTCGGGAACTGCATACGATCGGGCGCGCCCTCGCACGCTGGCGTCTGCAAGCCCAGGACCATGAGAGCCCGAACACCATCCTTGCCTCATCAGCTACCACCACTCTATGGTAGCGACAGAACGCGCTCATCAGAAACGCAACCCTGCGGAAGACGCCAGTGAGAACGTATCACACGAGACCCGACCGGCACACAGCGTTGGCGACATATTAATGCACTGCCCGAAGCGCAGGCGCCTCCATCGACAACATTCAATCTGGGTAAAATCTTACTAGCATCATACATTACAACGTCAGACAGCAGGTACACATGGGTAAACTAGTCCAAGTATCAGAACATCCTATCGGTTATCTGATAAATAAACCCAACGCGTCATGTAGACAGCGCTTGACTCGCGCATGTGAATGGGCCTGAGAACGATCCTGCACGGTAGCCTGCGACACAAACTCGAATGAGGACACCTATTCTGCACAGAGCACTGGATGTCGTACCTTCAACAATGCTGTCGATGCTCGCATACAGCCCTGCCACCATGATGAACGCCCCCATCTGCAACAGAATGAGGTTAGGGTTAGGGTCTAGAGCGAATGAAGCAAAGGTCAATGATGTGCCACCTACCAGAATGATACCCGCCCAAAATACACATTTCAGTCTCTGGCGTGGTGTAGACCACCACTCTGATCGTGGGGTCAGATGGAACCAGAAGATACCCTGATCCCACGGTCATGACATCGATCTCGACATCGGATCCAGTCGCACTCACCGAGATTCCATACGTGAACCAACTATTGAATACCGAGAACAATAATTCAATGACACGTTCGCGGGGTCATAACTTCTTAAGCACACACCTTGCGAAAACGGAGCTGATTACCCCAAGCAGATCATTGAAAAACGGGATTCTGTGGGTGTGTCAGCTTACACGAACGCATCAGAATCACTGCGGGTACTCACACTTCAGCGATAACGAACGCCAAAGCCCAAATCGCAAAGCATATGCCAATCCACGTCAGCCATCCAACCCACGAGTGCGTTGTCATGTGCCTTGACTTGACCCCATCCCGGCGGAAACTGATATCCGTCAGCTTTACTTGTGAGTCACGACGTGAGACACCACCTACATCCTAATAAACACCTGAGCGCGAAAGTACGCAGTCAAGCATAAGATACAAAAGCTTGGTAACGTCAACTGACCAGTTTTGCGCAGACATGTCCATTTATGACACCGGCGACGATAATGGTCGGCAGCGCAATCCCATACGCAATCTTGCGTAGTATTGTCCCAGTGTTACCCAGCGCCGGCGACACTGTGTCGGCTCCAGCATATGCATACACGACAATTCCGACTATTAAATACAATGTTGTATCTGCAATTTGCAGGAGATAGAGGGCTTTTGGAAAGTCCTATCACGCCCAAGAATTATTATTCCCACCCTAAAACACGCCACAATCATTGCTTACCTCCGGCTTGCGCATTTCAGAGATAAAAGTGAAGAATGCAACATGGCCTACGAGAGCGGTATTAGTCGCTGCAGACGAAATATGAGCAGATGCGATTACCGGCATAGGCGAAGATCTACGAAGAGCACAGGACATAAGTTGCATGACCGACGACAAGTAGAGAAATTGACAAACAATATCAGTGACCGACAAAAATGCGCTAGCGAAGCTCAAATTTGCGCGAGCGGTGACGCCGCCCTTATGGCCTGCGACGCCCACCCCAATCATCGTAATGAGCACGGCAGCTGTATCATCAATCCGTTAACTGCTTTAGTCTGCAGCGGGAGGACGATGTCACATACACAGGATGGAGATAAAAGAAGCCACGCTTAGATACGAAATTCCGTTTAATGTCCGGGGAATTGTCAATATGATACATATGATCGCGGTAACGCCTGCCCATAACACAGAACAAGAGGCTCCCGCAGTAACTACAGCCATCAGCCCATCAGTTTTATCTCAGTACAGCGCTCCGTATGATAACTTACTCGTGTCAAATGCAATCAGGCCAGTTAGAACATGACTACCGCAAAGGAACACCATGAAAATAATTTGCGCCGCCCCAAGCACTTCACGGCCGATCGGACCCGCGAGGACCATGCCAGCATCGGCCATGTTATGTATATGTGGATAGCGTAACTTGAAAAGGCCTATGAGATACCCTGTAGCAGTTGCAATGGCCCCAAGACTCTGTGCAATGTTGTTGAAAAGAGAAATATGAGACGACACTAAATACGCACGATGACCAGTATGCACCCGGCAACCATCCCCAGACTTGCAAATACAGATGGTATTGATAAAATCTTTGACAGATATGAGGAGAGTAGTGAAGTTAACGCTTCCAAAATACGCACACCAAGAGATACTGTCTCAGCGAGCATTAATGCAGCGGCCTTCCACCAGACCATCGTCCGGTACTTGACTTTGTACCAGCTTTGATCAGCACAGACATAATTTACAGCCGCTATAGTGCTCACTCTCTGCACTTTCCTCATCTCCGTATACGTCGTATGCATCATTCTCTGCCACCGCTATGTGTTCCTTCGGATGTCCTATCCGGCCAAAGTCGTGCTCATGAGAGGAGTACAATGTCTCATCCTGGCTGCCCTCGATTGATCCTTCATGCTTGGTCGCCATATGTCGCCGAGTCTAGACTAATATTCTCGAGCGAGAGTCTCTATCGAAACCCAAGTTGTAGGATGCTAGCAATAGCCTGCGAGTTCTGATTCGGAAACGGTATCGCGCAGGGTATATGGAGGTGTGACCAAAGTCCTGGAGGCATTCAGATATCAAGTAATTGTCGCCGCAGTCTTTTGACAGAAACGAGGGCGCCATAATGGCTCCCATGCGTCCGATGAA